CCTTCCAAACTAAATCTCTGGCTGAGTTTGACCACACCAATTGGAGCCACACTAGCCAAAGGTCTCAGTAAAATCATTTCAAAGCTCCTGTTTTGCCTTGTGCTAGTGATTCTGCTGCTATCACGTACCAGACTGGTACACCAGTATCATTTGTAGGTTGTCTGTGGCTAGTCATTTTTCACTTTACTGATTAATCCTATCTAACAACATGCATTTTTTTGACTGTAATGAATGTAGATGCTTTTCCACCAGTCAGAAGCATGGAAATGAGTGGCTCTGGTTGTGGTTATACTTGCTGTGAGGAGCTAATCCTGCAAAAAGACACAGTCGGGGGCTGTGTGGCCCGTCCTCTTCTGCTCTAGCTCAGCAGTGGAGGCGAGACGGTTTGCCACGCCTCGTGGCCGGCCCGTGCCTGGCGCCTTCCCTCCCGCCAGCCACGGCACGCGCAGCCGCCTTCAAAAAGTTACGGAAAGTGGCCTTTTCCTTGAGGCTCTGCTGTTTCAGCACTACACGGTCTTGAGGGAGACCTCAAAACTAGAGCGCCTCTGGAGAGACTGCGGCGTTTTCATGCGATTCTCACTGATTTGTGACAATCCTTTACCTTGGGCAGTTGGCGACGGTGAACTGCCCTCCCCTGCGGACGGCCCGTGGCCCTGCGGACTCGAGAAGGGGCAGCGGCTCCGGCCGGGCGGGCTCATTCCTCCCCTGCGTGCAGGCTGCCGCGCCGGGCCTGGTGGTGCTTCTTTCAAACTCCGTAGCGCGTTTCAAGCGATGGGTGATCCTCTGGTAACCCCCGTGCAGCCTTCAGCAGCAGGGTACCCCTGTTAGTCGTTCCTGTGCTAAGCAAATCCTTTGCAGACAGCGCCGGGGTCTGTCAGTTGAAGCAAGCAAGGGAACTTGCCTCACCTGGCCCCCGTTCCTGCGCGTCCCGGCTGTTTCCACGCGCGTTTCAATGCATTTCTCTTCGTTTCTGCGCATCGCTAACCCACCCCTGGGCCGCTTCAGAGTGTGCCGCCCTGATGCGAAATAGGAAGAGGCTTGATGTGCAACTGCCTGTTACCTAATAACGCAGCAGATGGATGAGGATTTATGGAACAGTTGAGGAAAACAAAGATTTTCTGTTCGCCCGTGTATGCGCAGTCGGCCTGTTTGGACAGGCGCGGGAGGAAGACGTGGGATTTACAAAGATCACCTGGCTTCGGGCCGTTGAGCTCCGTGATCTTGAAGACGCCCCCTTCTTACCTGTTGAGGGCCGCTCGCTTTTCCCCGTAAGCAGGTACGACTTCAGCTGAGCAGGGAAGGCGCCGTCCTGCCGGGGAGGAGGCGGACGGCTCGTACGTGCAGCGGCCTGACCACCCTACGCTCGCTGGTGAAGACTACGAGGTGACTTCCTCCCCTCCCGGGGCCGGCGCGGGCCCCGCTGGCAGGGCTGCTGCTGCCCCGGAGCCGGGGTTCCCCTTTGCAAACCTCCCCCTCTGCTTCCAGGCGCACGAAGCCGTCGTAACTCCCCGGGCAGCAGTCGCCGCCGTGTTCAGCTGCTAGAAGTTAAAACCTGGGCGTCCTCGGCTGGCGTGGACGGCTCGGTGCCCGCTCGCTCAGCGGGGAAGTGACATCTCCTCCTCTCGCGCCCTCCGGTCGCCTCTGGCCGGGCATCTCGTCATCAGCCGCGCAGCAGTAACACGGCCAGGAACGCCCTGCACCTCCTAACCCGTAGCTATTAGAGATGTCAATAGTGCGTTACGTTCTCTAGGAAGACGTTGTAAGATGTGTATATTGTAAGCCTGCTTCGAGGTAGGATGTTTTTAATATGGCCAGTACTAAAAAAAAGGAGGGGGGGAAAAAAAAAAAGAAAAAAAACCCCGATGGGTCCATGACTTGGTTATTGAACCGCGGCCCCGCGGGCGGTACACGGGCTGTGGGAACCTCGCTACGGGCGCCCGAGCCCCGCGTCGGGGCCTGCGCCTCCCCGGGGCCCCGCACCTCGAGGTGCTCCTGGAGGCAGGCGGCGACAGCGGAAATAATTGGAATTTGAAAGAAGCAAAGCTGCGCCCGTGGCTGCGGGAAGAGCAGGGCTGGCAGCCTCGCTGGGCCCGGCTGGGCGCCTCCTCGCTGGCTCTTCCCTGGCAGCCTCTGCTCTTGCTGCCCTTCGTTACGTGGATTCTCTTCCCAAAGCCCCCTCCCGCCGTCGCCTGCCCCCTCGCTCTGGGAGCCGCTCCTGGCGGGGGGGAGAGGAGTCCAGCCGAGCTACGCCCGAGCAACTTCTGTTCTGACGGCTTTTACGCAGTTTGACGCAATTCTGGCTTTTGTAGATAGATGAATGTAACTCAGTGTTGGACATGCCTGTTCCCAAAAGTATGAGACGTTCTGTTGTACCACGTCACCTTCCGAGCGGAGCTGGGGCTGTCTCGACTCCCGTGCTGTATTGATGAATGTATCCGATGCTCTCGTTCAGTGTTCACACTCTGCTTTTGGCCAGCTTTGTGATTTGTAAATAGGGAATCAATAAAGACATTCAGGTTGTCTTTACAGAAGTTTCTTCATGATTTGAAGAGAGCCGACAGCCGCCGGCACCTCAGGGGCAGGCGGAGTGGGGCCGCGCTGGCTCCTGGCCCTTCTCCCCCAGGCGAGGGTGCGAGGTGCTCGGCCTCCCCTCCGCGGTGCGCGGCAGGGGCCGGGCTCCCCGGGAGCCCCGAGAGGCCGTGAGTCGCGGCTTGGGGAGCCCCAGGCCTCCGGGGAGCGCAGTTATTACAGAACCGCTGGTTCTCGGGGGGAAGAGAGCGGGAGGGCACGGAGCGGGCGTTATCCCCTCCGTCGGTGTGGTACCTTTACCCTGGCCTTTTATGCCTGAATTTCTTTAACCTCGATTGAAGGTTTTGGACTTCAAACGCCCTAAAGGCGGCCCTGGCCCTTGCAGGGGTCAGTCCGGGTCGCTGAGGGGGTGTAAAGGGCTCTTCCCCTGCTCTGGCCGCGCAGGCAGGCCGGGAGGGCAGCTGCCGGCACGGAGGGGCCGGCAGCAGCGGGCGGTGGAGCCGGGACGAGGGCACGAGGTGCCATGGCCGTGGCTCAAGCACGAGGCCCATCCTGTCCTCCTCCTCCTCGGCAGCGAGGCCGAGGGCTCCCCCACCCGCTCGGGGCTGTGGTCCTTCAGGCCGGACCCCCCCTGTCCGAGCCCTGGGCTCCGGCTGGGAGCTGCCCTCCTGCACCACCGCCGTCCCCGCTTTTTACCGGAGTTACCGGCCCATCCGGCGGGAGCCCTGTGCCGCCCGGAGCCGTCGGCCCCACCGCAGCTCCCGACCCCGCAGCCTCTCCCCCGGCTGCTTCACGTGAAAAAGAAATGAGGGGACGTTTTGGTTTGGTGTTTTTTTTTATGTCCCCACCCTCAGGGCCAAGCAGTCAAGCGCAGAAGAAAGCGTAGTTTTCTGAAGATGATTTTTTTTTTTAAATTTTATTTTTTAATTGTTTTTATTAAAAAAAAAAAAAAACCCCCTAAATTCTATGGCTTCCAGGAAGCATCAGAGAAATTTAAATGCCATTTCTGTACACTTTGTTTTAAAGCAGTAACTAAACTCGCAATGGAACGAACGCCCTCACGTACAATCGCAGTATTTGGCCTCCTCGCTGGAAGGATGGCGAGGCTGGGGGCCGCAGCGCCGTCCCCGGCTGCCCCCGCGGCCGCGGCCCTTCCCC